AATAACAATTTAAACGGTTTTAATTGCAGTAGATGTTAAATGGTAAAAGTAGTTACCTGCCAGATCGTTCTTCCATTAATAAGTTGTAGCTTATAAAGTTGGCAAGTGACTTCTTGTTTGAGGCATTGCCCCATTTGAATCTGAGACTTTGGTGTCCACAGACTACACAATGAAGCAGTGGAGGCTCTGGTGGTAGTGGTGTGGTTTTACTTCTTATTGGTGGGCTAAGTAGTGGTTTGGTTTTACTTCTTATTGGTGGGCTAAAAGGGCTTAGCCCATAATGATTAATAGCTTGAATTCTGATTCTAATGGTAAAAATAAATTAAAATTATTAATTTATATTTAGTAAAGGAAATATTTTTCTTTATATAAACCGACCCACTATATCTCTCTGTAGAAGGACTATTATATTAATTATAAGACAGATTTCCAAGATAGAACTATTACTGAAAATTATTGATGAGAAGCATAAATGGCTCTTACTAATATCAAATTTCACCAGTGAAACAGAACTCATTTCAAAAATAATTGGAAGTATATTAAGTACACAAATGCAGATCTGCTCAAAATTCTCAATCTTTCCATTGACCCAAAATAAGATATAAGTGATTTACCTGTATGTAGTATTAGGCTGCAGATTTTTTAGAACACATTCTGGTCCTAGATCAACAGTCAAGATTTTTTTATCTCCATATTCAATGTTATATCCAGTGATTGGAGAGCCATGGCAGTCTGGTTCCTCCCACTGGATAGCTATGCAAGATGACGACAATTTGGCAGGCACTTTGTCTTCAACTTCTTGTAACATTGGAACTATGGCGGGTACAGTTCCTGGTGTAGTTACTTTTCCAGTTCCTCCAAACATTCCAACCCCAACTATATTTACAGCCTGAAGAAAAAAATTATGTTTTGTTAGCAATTCTTTTTTTTTAAGTTTATTTATTATGTATACAATGTTCTGTCTGAGTGTATGACTGCACACCAGAAGAGGGCACCAGATCTCATTACAGATGGCTGTGAGCCACCATGTGGTTGCTGGAATTGAACTCAGGTCCTTTGGAAGAACAGCCAGTGCACTTAATCTCTGAGCCACCTTCCCAGCCCTAGCAATTCTTTTTAACTATTTTCTGTGCGTGAACCATTTTGTTGTAGACCAATGTGCACCCTAAACTCATCGCCTAACAATTTGGTTCTATGTTGAAGAAATACATACTGAGACAAGCAGACTGTGTCTTTGGGAAAGGAAAGAGTGCACATGGGGGAAGAAAAGTCCAGAGTGTTAATATAGATATTTTAGGAAAATTACACCCCCACAAGATTCATCAACTATGTCACTAAGCTTTCTTCCATTCTTCATGCTTGAGTTTCTATCTCTGTTACATTCCCATCCAGTCAATCAGTTTCACTAATCTTGAGAAAGCATTATTTTTTATTCTGAGATCATTATAAATACATACATACATACATAGACTACATACACACACAATATGTATGTATGTATGTATGTATGTATGTATGTATGTATGTATGTATGTATATATACATCCTGTACCTACTTTCCTCTGGAGATAATATTTTCAGTAGTTACAGCTCAGTACTACAACCAGGAAATCACCATTGATAAAAGCCACTGATGTTATTCAGAATTGTGAGCACTTATTTGTGTCTGTACTTAATTTTTAGTCAGTAACCATGGCCACTTCAATTCAAGGAAGTTTATCACAGGACTCCACGTGCTTCTCTTACAGCCACAGTATCTTCTTACTCCCATCGTCTAACATCCGGAAACCACTAACTGCTAGCCATCATTACTACAATTTTATCGTTTCAAAAATATTATATAATTGAATAATGCAACACATAACTGATGCAGGCTCGGTTTTTGGTTACTGCAATTCTCTGGAGCACTCTGAGCTATTGTATATAGTAGTACTTTGTTCATTTTTATTACTGAACAATGTGACACAGAATAGATGTATCATAGTTTATTTAACCACACATCTGTTGAAAGATATTTGAGCTATTTTAGTTTATGATTCCTATAAATAAACGTAAGATGTTACTGTGCTCTTTTCTGGAAAGGCTAGAATTCTCACCAGTAAAGTGTGAGTGACCAGTTTCTTTAAGTCTTTGGCAGCTTAGGCATTCTAGAAGATAGGGAATGGAATTTCCTTGTGTATTTCCCTAATAGTAAATGATGCTGAATATCTTTGCATGTGCTCATTTGCCAACTGTATATTCTCTTCAGTTACTAATCTACAAATATTCTAACAGAATTATCTGAAATAACTCCTGAAGTTTGAGAGTTCTTTAAATATTTTAGGTGCTAGTCATTTGCAAGATATGTGTTTGGAAAATATCTCTCAGCCTGTAGGTTCACCTTTCATACTTTTTAGAAGGTAGAAAAATAAAAGTTTTAAACTTTGAGCATGTCAAATTTACCACTATTTCATTTTGTCAGCTAGCATAGTCTACAGAGCAAGTTCCAGGCTAGTCAGGTCTACACAAACAAACAATGCCCCCCCCCCAACTAAAACAAAAAAGAAAGAAAAAGACAATGGTGTGACTGGCTGAAAATAAGAACCAGTTATAAGTTGTTTACAAGAAACTCACTTTTCTTCCACTGAATCACACACACTCTTCGTCCAACTCAGGAATATTTAAAAACCGAGTCGTTATTTTTTTTTCCTTCTGGGAAAAAGGTATCACTGTCTAGCCCAGGCTACCCTAGAACTTGTGATCCTCCTGCCTCCATCTCCCCAGTGTTGGGATTCTAACTGTGAACTACCATGTTCAGCTTTGCCTGCTTTCTTTTTCTTTCTTTCCTTTTGGAGCACTGAGTAGAGCTGAGTATGTAACCCAGGGCCTTTGCATATGCTAGGCAAGTGACCTACCATTAAGGCTCACATAAGCTCTATGGTATTGTGATGGCTTAAATTTTACAGAGAGCACATTTCAGATTATTTTAAGTTTGTACTTCCCTTTTAACTTATATATATTATAATTCTAGTTGTTCAGAAAATAAAACCAGATCACTTCTAGCTGGCATATAGGAAACATTTATGCAAGAACTGGCTTTGAGGAACAAGACATGCAGAGGGGCACAGTTTCTAGGTGGAATCAATTTATTTGGAATTAAGATTCTATAGAGGTTTTCTTAACTGTGATAGCTGTCACTTAGAGAGCAAAAAACACGGCTATCTTATTTTGAAGCAATCCCATTCCAACCTGAAGAGACCCCTTCTATTTAATTAAAATATAGTCACATTTCCTCCTTCATTTCCTCTCTCAAGCCACTCCTATGCTCAATTCCTTTCAAACCCATGACCTCTGATTGTTTGTTATTGCTACAAACACAAACAAACACATAAATGCAACATCTGAATCTGTTTAGTGTGTGTGTGTGTGTGTGTGTGTGTGTGTGTGTGTGTGTTTAATGCTGACCATTTGTGATTGCATGACCTGTTTGGGATCTCATCCCTGGAGAAGAGTGACTTCCCCTCCCATAGGGGAAGACTCCCAAAGGCAGTCTTTAATTGCCTGTAGTAGCTCTTCATCTAGGAGTGGGGTCTATGGGATTTCCCTCATCTATGTTGGCATGTCAACTGGTGTCATTGTGCAGGTCTTGTTTAAGCAACTGTATTAGCTCCTTCTTTCATGACACTGACAGTTTTCAATTTCCCCAAAATCAAAGCCACTAATACCATCCCTACACATCCTAGTTTGACACATCATCCCATCTAACTGATAAGCCATTCTGCCCCACCAGAAAATGCCCAGCCCACTGAGTCATCTGTCACCTATAAAACTCCAGCCTGTATAAGAGAAGCTGGCTCTACCATTCTCTTCTGACAAGAGCCCTCATGTTTAAATGAAATGTGTTCTTGTCTTTTCTTCTTGATCTTTTTCTCAGGCACACCACATTGTATGGGATACAAGTTGTCCAAATAATTGCCTGACACCACCAAGTGGTGCACACCTCCCTTAAAGACACTTCCGCAGTATATTTCAATACACCAATACCCATTTTTTCTCCTGTAGGGCTATGAAGACTCAGACACATCATCCATTGCCTCCTTGTGTTGGACAGCCTCATTCCCAGTATACCTTCCCACCGAATACTATTATCCAAGGATTCCTATCACTTCATAAAGGGCCTTCACATGGAGTAACTGTTCAGTTGTTCCCAGACAAAGGCTTTGTCATCTTGTGGAATTGAATGGCCCATTTCTGGGTTGTCCTAGCAGTCTAGGGCCAGGATAATCCCCACTGTCTCTTTCCTTTGCATACATTACTTCTCTCCTCTCCCCACCTCACCCCACCACACAGGCAGAAATTCAACCAGAGCTTGAATTTCAGGAGCCCTACTGGTACCTCATCAAAAGATCCAGGTTGGCATACCTCAGCTGCATCGTGGAGGACAAGAAGGGCTGATGGCAACCTGTCTGATCCACTTCCCAATCTGTCCCTCCTCTTACTAGTCTCCCTCCTGCTCAGACAGGGGTCCTCACTTCCGTAACTCAACCAGACTGTCTTACTACCCACCAATCCCATCAAATCCCACAATTCCTCCCTCTTCGCCTCATGTTGGAACTATGTTCACCTGTTCCTGGTAGCAGATAGGGCACCATACCTGCTTGCCTTTCCTCAACAGGTAAACTGTATCACGCCCAGTAGAAAACTCCTGAAATCGATTTTGTGCATAGGATGGCTGGAGTTGAGGCAAAGACTTCAGCAATCAGGCCACTCTAATTAATTTCCAGAGATTTCTTACCAGCCTACAACTTCCTCAACATCCCTTCAGGAGGCCATACCAAAGGCCCTTTGCCTGGCCTTCCAAGTCACCGTTGGTGGCCTCTACTCCTCTCTTTACAACGACATCCTCACTATGCTCCCTTCCACTATATTAACCACCACTGTCTCTTTAAGTCAGGGTCTTTCTATGTAGTCCTGCCTGGCCTGGAGCTCACTATGGAGACCAGGCAGCCACTGAACTCACAGGGATCCAGTTGCCTCTGCCTCCAGAGTGCTGGGATTAAACATGTGCTCTGCTAAACCCAGCCAGTCAATACCTCCAGTCTGGTGAATGCCTTAGACAAAGCAGACTGCCAAACCTTAAAACAATCAGAGAACAAAGCCTGATCCCTCAGCTTCTAGGGAAGAGTTCACTGTCTTGACTTTCCTTCCCCATGCCCTACTTTCCCCACCCTCAGCCCTCCTCTGTCCCTCTCTAAGTCCATCTCCACCTGATATTTGATTCTTACACACATTTTCACTAAAATTCTAAAATCTAGTACCTTCAACTTAAGCTTGGGGGAGTCCCCTCCAGGCTGTCATGCCGCCCCTATCCAGCCTGTCACATTCTTAGCCTTGGGCACTACATTTCCCTTTGGGACACTCATTCAATCACCAAATCCAGACATTCAAGGAAGCTCTTTCCAGATATCCTGCTTTGACCCTCCCCCTGCCTCGCATACACCATGGGCCTCTTCTGAATTTTCACCTTTCAAACCCACACTTGCCTTCTCTTAATTGGATAGGCAGATGTACTCTTTCCTTTTCATTCCTCACAAAGTCACTTCTCCCCTACGATGCACCCATCCTGGTCTCAGCCTCCATCAAGATCTCTAACAACCTTGGAGTCATGATGGAATTGGGTAAGGGGAGCTCCATCCCGTGAGAAACTTTTCACCAGTTAACCCTTCTTTCTAGAGAAGTATTAAAGAGCATCAACAATGTCACACATTAGCTCCAAACAATCCAAGACCAGATCTGTTCCCTAGCTGCTCTTGTTATGCAGAGCTGCCAGGGCCTCCCTGTCTTCCAGAGGCCACCCATGTGAGCTGTGTGTGCACTTCTGAATGAACAGTGCTATTTCTTTACCAGTAGGTCATTTCTGGTGGACATGGTGCATGAGGGTTAAAGCATAGTGGCTTGGAGAGTCAGTTTGACAATTAAGAGCACTGGCTGCTCTTCCAGAAACCCTGGGTTTACTTCCCAGCACCCACGTGGTGGCTAAAAACAATCTGCAACTCCTGTTCCAGGGGATCTGCTGCCCTCTCTTCTGGCCTTTGTGGAGGCCAGACATGTTTATACAATTAAATTAAAATAACTAAAGGATGGAACCATTGTTCTTCAGCAATTATCATGATCATTCTGGGATTCCTCTTCCTCCCTTGGTCTATTAACCCTTTCCAGAAGTTTTTGCCTGACAGGATCACCTCAACTTCTACTAGCAGAGTGAACTCACAAGAGTGCCTTAAAGCTGTCCTGCTCCTCCAGACCCTTAATTTCTAGGACCATTGCCCCTCTCTAACAAGAAGTACTATTAGAGAATTGGTTATCCAGTCTTCCTACCGAACCATAGAGCTTGAATTGGGAGAATAGATGCACAAGCATCTTGTCTTGACAGCAGCCCCATTCTAGCTTTATAGTACCCCTTTTCAAGAAACTAGCAACTTCAGTTTCCTGAAGCCAGACTTTAATTGAATATACCATTCCTGCAATCCTAGTTTAATCACTAACATCATCTCATCTAACTAACAAGACCATTCTGATCATTCAGGACCCTCCCCACCCAGTATCCCCTTTCCAAGCCTGAGCCCTATAACAAACCTAGCCAGTAAAAGAAGTTCATTGTCTTATTATCTTGATTTCTGAAGAGAGTCTGTCCTGAGTTTATCTCAAAATAAACCTGTCCTTGCACTGGAGAAGCAGAGGCAGGCAGACTTCTGAGTTTGAGGCCGGCCTGGTCTACAGAGTGTGTTCCAGCACATCTAGGGCTACACAGAGAAACCCTGTTCTGTCTTGAATAACCAAAACCAAAAGAAAAAAAGAAAGAAAGAGACTGATTATATAGACCTGAACAGGTGTATTTGCTTGTTTTAGGCAGGGTCTCACTCTATTCCAGGCCAGGCTTCAATTTACTGTGCATGCCAGGCTGACCTCAAAACTGTGGTAATCCTCCTGCATCATGCTCCAAAATTCTGGGACTCCATGTATATACTACAGGCCTGACTGGAGTCAGTGTTTTTAATAAGCATTTTAGGTGATTGCTAAGTTCAGAGAAATTTGAAAACCACAGAAGTATAAAGGAAATATGGCAGATCAAGCTGGACTAGGAAGTACATGTAAGATCATATGGGGCTTTGAATAACACAAGAAGGAACTCCAAATGCTATAGTTAAAGATAAGCAATACTCTTAGAAATCCTTCTCTTCTTGACTTTACTCTGGTCTTTACAACCAAATGACACTAGTATTATGTATATGCAAAGTATAGGTTAACAGCTGTTGCTTTCTTTGTAGTGAAGGAAATGATAGCTCTACCTGGACTCTGCAAAAATATGTGGTTGCTGGAATAAGACCTTTAACTTCATAGCGCAAACAAGGGCCAGTGTAAATCAAATGCATGGAATCTTCAATTTGTCCCCACTGCAGTCGGTAATCAGTGATTTCAGCACCATTGCATTTAGGAATCTGGAAGACAAAATGCACACAGAAATTCAATTCTTTTTCTGAGTGGTCATTATGTTAGATACTATGGAGAGGAATAACACATGGAAGCTTGCAATCCATCAAGTGATACAGGATAGCGATGAGTAGAAACAAACACAAACAGGACACTATAACAACATAAAAGACATAAGTTAAAGTAAGAAAAAGGACTTGTTAATTTTACATGTCAGATGAATGAAAACAAATATATTAATATTGTGTAATATTCAGTTGGTTAGTATGATAAATCACTAATCACATACCCTGGTGATTTTGGCTATTATAAGTTAAAAATCAGCTCTGCCATGCATTATTAACAGACTATGCCTTTTTTGGCAATGTTAAAAAAAAGCCATTGCTTGAGACTGGGAAAAAAGAACAACATAAACAAACTTATATGCTTAAATAATTAGGTTGATTCTTTTTTTGGGGGGGGTTGAGGCAGGGTTTCCTCTGTATTGTTTTGGAGCCTGTCCTGGAACTCACTTGGTAGATCAGGCTGGCCTCGAACTCAGAGATCCACCTGCCTCTGCCTCCCAAGTGCTGGGATTAAAGGAGTGCAGCATAGGTTGATTCTTATTTTTAAGAACTTAATTGCTTTTGTAAAGCAGCCACATGGTTGTTGAAAGCATAGTTTTAAATCTTTAACATTCCTTGTGTACCACATTGTAGTCACGAGTTAGAATAGAACCAGAGGATTTCCCAGTGAAGTTCTTTAAAGAATACTAAATCCTGGCCTGGGGATATTGTTCAGAAGTAGAGTTCTTACCTAACATGTATGAAGCCTTGTGTTCAGTCCTTAGCACCACAAAAAATTAAACTTCTTATAAAATTTTTTAGATTTATTTATTATGAATACAGTGTTCTGTCTGCATGTATCCCTGCAGTCCAGAAGAGGGCACCAGACTACATTACAGATGGTTAGGAGCCACCATGTGGTTGGTGGGAATTGAACTCAGGACCTCTGGAAGAATGGGCAGTGCTCTTAACCCCTGAGCCATCTCTTCAGCCCCAAACTTCTTATAAATTGATTTACCTTTGCTGCCTCTTGTATTATCTTTAAAAATTCAATTAGAGCAGGGCGGTGGTGGCGCACGCCTTTAATCCCAGCACTCGGGAGGCAGAGGCAGAGGCAGGCGGATCTCTGTGAGTTTGAGACCAGCCTGGTCTACAAGAGCTAGTTCCAGGACAGCCTCCAAAGCCACAGAGAAACCCTGTCTCAAAAAAACCAAAAAAAAAAAAATTCAATTAGTTAACCATTGAAGGTCTACTTTGGTACCCAAATTTATAATTGAGATCTGAAGAGCAGATTATCAGATCTATAGTCTTTATGATATCATTGGTATCAAGTCCTTGGAATGTTCTAGACACCACAGTCTCTGAGGGGTATGGGATCCTAATTTTAATCTATGATTCATTAGAGATTTCAGGGGTTTCCCCCCAAATGCTCTAAACCGTTGACATGTTTGTGTATCAGCAAAATTATAAGAAGTTGAATTGGTAACATACTTCCCAACTGACAATAACACAGGTTGGACCCTTGCAGGTTAACACAGGTGTACCACACTGAGAAGGAGGGTGCCGGGCTGGTACAGTTCCACACTTCATTGAATGAGATCCAAGCTACAAATTAAACAAACATACAAATAAACAAACACATGCATGACTTCGCAGGCATGGCCGCTCCTTGCCTTGACAACAAGTACAGTGCAAGCATGAATTCATTCAAAGTGAAATGAAGTACAGGCCTGAACAGCCAAACTCTTATACTCCTATTTTGTGTTTGTAGCCAGAACTGGTGGGTTCTTCAGGAATTAATTTACTTACTGCACATTTCTTTTCAGAGCCAGGGCTCCCCTTTCTGTCATTCCGGGGACTTTTTGCTTTTTTGCCACGCACGACTGTTTTCAAGTTCCCATTAACAGAACGATTGCCTACAAAATATATAGAATGCACTCAGTTCCCTCATCCCCAATTTAGTTATGTTGATACTAGTGATCAAGCCCAGTCTTGTTTCTACTAAGCACACACGCTATCATTTAGCTCCACACCAAGTCCCTAGTTTTTAGGATGGTTCTTTAAAACAATACAACATACTGTAGAGTGAGTTAAAACAACTCTTTTAAAATGCTCAGAGACACAAAGCTTATTGTATCTTAAAATTAACCTCATAATTTGACTCACACATTAAGAGTTAGATTAAGAATTATTCGATATCTTCTTTATATTTCCAGGTAGTTCATACCCTCTATCTCTGTCTCAGTTTACCATCACTTCTATCCAAATCCTACCCACAGTTAAGATCCAGTCTTCAATCCCCCATGGAAGGTCTCACCCTCCCTGGGGAGCAGAAAGGAGTTGGGATGAGTGAGGGGGTAGGGGAGGAGGGGAGGGAGAGGGAACTGGGATTGACATGTAAAAGAAGCTTGTTTCTAATTTAAAATAGGTCTAATTACAATTAAAAAAATTAAAAAAGAATTATTTGATTCAGACTAAAAGGAAATTCTACTTGATAATATTAATATATGCACAAAAGCAAAAGTCCCAGGACAGGAAGCTTAGGTGCAGCTGTCAATCATATAAGGAAGTCTTACTTACCAAGGAGAAGGTTGGTGTTTTTGCACTTGGTTTTACCATTTAAGGGCAGTGAACGACAAGACTCTTGAGGCAGAGTAGGCGTCTGAATTGTCAATACATCTGAAGGCTAAGAGATATGGAATATTTTACTATTATACTAAATTCAAGATCAGCTTTAGAAAACATTTATTAATATAACACTTTATTTTAGTCCTCAATTTGAGAACTTTCCCCTTTCTGTATTCATACCTGGCTTTGGCCTACAGGTGAAGTGCAAAAGACTCTAAGTTTATATGTGGTTCCTGGTTGGAGGTCATTATACAGAAATTCCTGTAGGGTGCCATTGTAGATTATCTTCCAGACATTTGCTGGAGGAAGAAGAGAAAATTGGTTCCTAAGTCACATAAATTGTATAAGTCCCCACAACAATGAATGTATACATGATATATGCTATGTAACAACCATTTTGGAAAATAATTTGATCCAATAATCTTTTTTTGGGGTGGGGGTGGTTGTTCAAGACAGGGTTTCTCTGTGTAGCATTGGCTGTCCCGAAACTAGCTCTGCAGACCAGGCTGTCCTGGAATGCACAGAGATCTGCCTGTCTCTGCCTCTCAAATGCTAGGATTAAAGGTGTGTGCCACCACTGCCTGGCTAAATCCAATAATATTTTTATGATTGTTAAATTATTTTTTCCCAGTTGAACTAAACAAAAATGCAAAAGGACAAGTCAATAATGATTTCTTATCAAAACTTGAAGGAATCCAATTACATTCTGGGGTTTGATTTTGTAGATGTGTATTATATTGCTTTTTCTGGTTCTGGTAATTGCACTATAGTTACATAAGACACTACTATTGGGTAGAGCTAGGTCAAACTTTTGCAGGGCAGCCCTGTACTATTTTTCATAACTTACAAGTGTAAGATTATTTCAAAATAAAATCTTTTAAAATTCATGTTGTCTTACCACCATCTGAATTTTCACTGACTTCTAAGCTGTAACTTGAAATGTGCATTCCTCCATTATCTTTGGGGGAGTCTAAAAAGAAAAATGCATTTTTAAGTGATTCTTGAAAAGTCTTACAAGTCTTTCACTAAAATTCTATCTCATAAATTATAGCTTCTCATAGAGAAAAATATAACCATGGCACATTGCTATATTTATATAGTTATATTTATACATGTACACACTAGTAACAATCCAAAGACATAAGACAAGCTACATACATTTGATATTCTGAATCAAGTATTTAGATAGTATTTCAAAGTTCTTGGGAAGAAACTAAAATGATAAGAATGTGTGGAATAATTTTCATTTATCTAGTTTAGAGGCAATAAATCTTTATAAATAAAATTTCTGGTTAAGATGACATTTATTTTTGACACAGACTTCTTACTGTAGTACCTCTGTTGGATATAATTTCACTTGGGAGAAGGTTACTTATGGATCCATATAAAACTCAAAAGTTTGTTCATATGTGAATAATTAATCTAGCAATAGGAAATCCAATGGCAAATTAGAAAAAATAATAGGGTTTACAACTAAACTCATTATTATGGCAGAATATTTCACATGCAAATGAGAATATTTTATTAAGGGCTTAGGGAAATTGCAGAAAGATTTCTTCTCAGTAGTAAACATGGGAGAACAAAGTTTAGACATAGAAGAATTATTTACCCCATCCAATTTTTACTTGGTGTGCATAGATTGCTCCCACTACATATGGTTTTTTAGGGTATCCAGGCTTGGCTGGACGAGTAGAGTATTTTACTTCTCCACTGGAGTTGCTTCTTCCTTCTAGATTGTAGGCAAAAATCTGTGTAAAAGAGGATATTTTGTTGAACACTGGAAATAAATGTCTGGTTTGATAATGTGTAATGTGCCAGCTGAGTGAGAATTTCCAAGAATTAAATGCAAAGTAAAGTTTCATTTCAAAGGTGAAGAGTTTAATCTTGTATGAAAACACAACACCAATTTATAAATCATGGCACTTACCCGAAACTTGTATGCAGTATTTCTCTGAAGGTTTCTTACAGTGCAGGAGAGGTCTTCTCCATTGTATTTAGGTTTAAAACCCAACCCCTGAAAATGGAGGACAGTGAATTCAGGAACAAAGCCTAGGTTCTAGGCCTAGCTTCAGCTTACTGTCTACCTGAATGGTCTTGAGAATGGTCCTTAGTCCTTTTGAACCCCAAAGGGTCTGCCCCGGGTCCTCTGCATATATGTTATGCTATTAGCTTGGTGTTTTTGTGAGACTCCTAACAGTGGGAGTGGGTGTATCTCTGATTCTTTTGCCTGTTCTTGGGATTTTTTCCCTCCTATTGGGTTGCCTTGTCCAGCCTTGATATGAAGACTTTTGTCCTGTCTTATTGTATATTTTTTTGTTGTATTTGTTTGTTGTGCCTTGTAGGCCTGCTCCTTTCTGAAGGGAAATGGAAAGGGGAGCAGATCTGGGAGAGAGGGGTGTGTGGAGGGGGCTGGTGCTGGGAGGAGTGGTGCTGTGGTCAGTATGAGAGAAGAATCTATTTTCAATAAAAATGGAGATAATTTTTGTTTTCAAATGTTCCATTTTTCAAGATGTAGTGAGATAGCACATGTAAAAGCAACTAGCTTATTAGTTAACAACCCAGAACATGTCTTAATGTTATCTATTTTATTTAAAATTTGGTAACACACACATAGTAATTTGTGGCTGCTTTTTAAATGACTAGTTCTTTGACAGAGATTTGGAAATTCCAAATGGAATGAAATAGTTGCCCATGTACATGAGGAAACTGAGACGAAGAAAGGACAGCTTGGCAGAATTTTGTTAAGGTGCTGAAAGACATGTGTGAGCACAGAGAGTCATCCAGAACAGGCCTGGAGCTGAAGATGCTAACAAACTTCTTTGGTTAGAGACCAAGTAGAGCACAGAGGTGCTGCTCTTGCATTAGCTAGGATGAGGGGGCCTATGCAGACTTGCCCAACAGTTGCTCTGCACCTGGACTCAAGGTTGTTGTTTTTCTTTTTCTAAGTGAGAAGTGAGTGTAAAAAAGTAATGAAAGATGAAGCTAAAGATCATAGTACAAAGAAAAGGAACTTACAGATCTTGGTTCCTCCATCTCTAGTACATAAGTAAGAGTGTCATTTGGGTTTGGGTTTGTTGGGGCACACCATTCAAGCGACAAACTGTAGACTCCTGCTTCTTTCAACTTAGGTGGCAGCGGTGCTGGAGGTGTGTTTCCTGATGTATAGAAGACTGCTATTTCACTGAAATTACTAAAAAAATATGTTAAAATGGGAGCATCAGTTTCAGGATCTCATGGCAGTATAGAGTTTTCAATAGTGAAAATTATTCAGTGTACCTGAATCCGAAGTTATTTTTGGCAGCTAATCTGAATGAATACTTCGTGGAAGCCATCAATTTAAAGATCTTGTGCTGTTTCATGGAACCACTGTAGCAACTTTTGAACTCTTCACCTTTACCCTTGACAATGCACACAAAATATTAGAATCTTTTAAAATACTTCATTTAACAACACATATGCATCATAGCATTCATCATTCACAATCAGGTGATTTTTAAAGGTAACTCTGCATCAGGTCTAAGACAGATGGGGTCCTAGTGCTGAGAGGGGGAAGTGGACACAAACCCTCATCCCTAACCCAGAAGCTGTCTCCAATTGATAACTACTTGCAAAGGAAAATTTAATTTTTCTCACAGTTTCACTGGATACACAAGCCACGCAAGGGTAGGCCCAATGTCCAGCCACAAAATGAACTCAATGGTAATTTTGGAGGTTTTTTTAGTGACTCATAATGCTTTGTGGGGACACTAAAAAAACAACCCTATAGGTCTTTTCTTATATATTGTGGTTTCTGTTTTGTGTCTTTATGAGATTTCTATGTGTACAAATGTGTGTGTCATCTCTGTGCCTATATATGTTTTTTTGGTGCTTTTACTTTGGCTCTTTTTTTCTGTTGTTTTTTTTTGTCCTATTCAGATTTGTTTGTTTTTATTTTACCTTTTTTTCTTCTTTCTTGTTTTCGATGCCTGTTTTCTAATGAGAGAGAACAAGAAAGGGGTGTGGATTTCCACGGGGGTGGGGATGGGGATCTGAAGTTGAGGGAGGGGAAACACTGATCTGCAGATATTATATGAAAAATATTTTAATAAAAAATAAAAGAAATGTACATACCTCATCCCATTCCAAAAGAAAGCTGCTTATTTTGGATCCATTATCTTTAGAACCCTGAAAAAATCAGAATGATAAAATTATGATGTGTTATTTTTCCAACATATATATGTTGCAGACAGTATGTAATATGTATATACATTTAAAGTTGTATAAATTACTGCAAACATTTGTCCCATATCTTGTTTTCATGGCAATTCAGATTTAAGGTTAATACACATGGTTTCCAGTCTATACGACAGATACTGATTCTGCACTTTATGTTTTCAGATTGCATAAAAGGAAGGAAAGTAAAATTAATACCTAAGGAAATGGAGAGGTAGATTTATTGGTAACTATGATGACTAACACCAAAATGTAAGTGCTGGAAAGGAGCAGTTCACCTTTTATTAATTACCTAAGTTATATTCACATTTCTCAATTCACTTGGCAGGACCTCTTAGACAGAAGAGAAAGACGAAAAGTTATATGGAGCATGCGTAACCTGTCTTTAGAATTCAGGATACAGGAGAGTGTTTTAAAGTCACATCTCTGAGATGCTTTTGTCAATAAAATCCTTACTTTCCACTGTAGATTCAGGCTGTTCTTGGTTCTGTTAATTAGTTTGGGTGCAAGTGGAGGGTCTGGTTCACAGCCAGGTGTTGTGAAGCTAATCACTTCAGACACACTTCTGTGTTCTTCGCCTCTTACAGTTGTAATTCTGAAAGGGTAACAGCAATTGTTGTAAGCTTTCAAGTACTGAGCTGCAAGACTATGTTTCTAGACACATTTTTTTTTTACTTAAAATGTACTTTTAATTTTTTAATTTTCTTTTTTTAATTTTTATTTTATTAGTTCAAATTAGGAACAAGCTTGCTTCAGATGTCAATTCCCTTCTCCTTCTCCCTCTCCCTCCCCTGCCCCCCAACAACCCACCTGCCCCTAGCCATCCCCTCTCCACTCCCCAGGCAGGGTAAGGCCCTTAAAAGGGGCTCCCCAAAGTCTACCACATCATCCTGGGCCAGGCCTAGGCCCTTCCCCATGTTCTAGACACATTTCTTTGCTGTTCTTTTATTGATTATACATAGTAATGGCTTTCACTATGACATTTCATATATGATCACACTCCCTTCTTCCCTATTATGCTCTTTTGCTCCCTTCCCACTCCCACTGACCCCCTTTTGCTTCCTAACTAGTCCCTCACTTTCTACTTTCATGGTTTTTCTTTTTCTTTTTTTAAAGATTTTATTTATTTATTATGTATACAATATATATCTGCACACCAGAAGAGGGCACCAGATCTCATTACAGATGGTTGTTAGCCACCATGTGGTTGCTGGGAATTGAACTCAGGACCTCTGGAAGAGCAGTCAGTGCTCTTATCCTCCGAGCCCTCTCTCCAGTCCTTTCATGGCTTTTCTTTTCTGGATAAGCTAATGAGTTTAACTAGGATTGCTTACCTGAGTATGGAGGTGGGGTTATTTGGAGTGGCAGGTAGCAGCACTTTGCTGGTAAATAGCTAGGCTGACTTCAGGAATTCTAAGTACTAAACTCATAAATTAAGGAGTCTCGGTATGTTGTGATAGAGTTCTTACCTTAAAAAGTAGACTGTGCAGGGCTGTAGGTCATGTAGCGCCACAGTAACTTCTTTACCACTAAGAAGATAACCTTTGTTTATATGGGATCTCACATATATTTAACAGCTAAGTAAGCAGTCCTAGTCTCATAATAATTGGTAAGGAACCACAATTTTCCTTAAAGTTTGAACAACTTTAAATTACTTTATATCTGTGCAAAATAATGTTATTAGTAGGCTACAGCTTTCCCTGAGGAGCAGCAGTGCCTCACCAAGCATACCAAGTTTCTGAGGGATGTGATGCAGGAGGTATGCAGTTTTCACTAGCTAGTGGACAGACCACAGAGCTACTCTAAGTTTCTATGGCAGGGGCCAAGTGGTGATGCCCATCTGTATACCTGTACCAAGAAGCAGCTGGAGGAGCTGAGCAGCATGCTGCTGGTAATCAGGAAAGTGGCCACTAAGAATGACCAAGTTTGTCCTGTCCCTTGCATCAATACATCTTTATATTAAACATCAAAAATCAGAATACTAATTCAAAACAGTCAATTTGCATTTCTTACCGAATACACTTAACCAAAATAGTACAGATTTACTTTTAAGTAGCTCATTTAAAAGAACGTAGATACCAAAAGCTTCAAAGAACACAATGATTCAAGCAATTCATGCATTCAGGTTCAGAGGGATGTTTCTGAGATGGGACCCTATCTGACCATAGGACAGAGGGCTTATATTATTGAAACTATGTCTTCCTGAGCAAACACTTACAAACACCTAAGTCTATTTCACCACACCAAGGAACTCCTAAAAAGACCCCTCTAAAAATGGAAAGGATTGATACTTTTAAGCAAAGTCTGGTTAAAAGCCTTTAAGGATAATCAGAGATGTAAACCAACAGGCAACCTCCTCCTCTTGCTGTGGCCCCTCCTTTTCCTCCCAATGTTGAAAGCTAAGTTCTGTTTCGTTTTAAACTAGTGATGTGTGCAAAGTGCATGACACACCAGAAAAAGATTTTCATGCAAGTGAATTTTGCATTTCCCTGTCTCCTACCCAGTATAGATGATTGTGTGTTGTGATTCTTAAATCTCACAACTTTATCTGCCAATTATTAAATAAATGAATTTTACTTTGAGTATCTAGCCAAAAACAAAACATTCTAGAAAATAAAATTGTCGGGTATGATTTTCAAAGTATTGTATACCATTTCTTGCTTATTTTCTGCCTAAGTTGAACAGTGGGTGTAAGCCTGTCTCTTTCCCTTTATTTGCATGTATTTCCTTCTTTGTTTTTCTCTGCTTACATCTTCATCCAGGCTGACTGCTGTTGAGAACATCTGGGTGTGTGCATGCTATCTTCTACTGTATTCTCCCCAGTCCTGGATTTATCTTTGATTCACATCTCTGAACTTATCTTGCTATTGTCACAACCTCTTTTTTACAACCACCTCCCAGAATTTAATTCCTAGCAGAGTCCACATCTTGAATTCCCACTGCAATGTAAATTATCTCTCTTGTTTATCTAAAGATATCATCACATTTCCTAAAATGAACCAAGTGAAAAATGAGGAGGAATTAGAAGTTTTTTTTTTTTTATTCTCCTCAAGATCAAATTTGTCTAATAGGAAACCTGTAGCCGAAAATGGATGAACTGCTATCTAAATGACATACTGTGATCTAATGAGCTTTGTGGATTGATTTGGGAACCTACTACTAGAAAACTACCCTAGTCAAAGAAGAATTTAGCATAGGTATAAGTTGGGGCACAATGACTATATGTTTAGACAGTGTACTTGAACTGAATAATGAGAAATAATTAAAAATACTTACTTATAAATATTTTTATAGATTCCATTTTTACCATTGCTAGACAGTGCCAATTCAAATGTCACAGGAGAATTAATATGATCACTGTTTTCAGTACTGTTCGGATTCCATGATACAGTAGCAGATCGTGTTTGAATATCAGAAACCTAAAATGATGAAAATGCAAGGAGTATACTTAAAAATCATAATCTGTAATTTTGAATACAGTCTTTTCTTAAGCCTTGTTTGATATTAGGTATAATTCCCATATTAGATACTGAAATACTGTGAATAAATATTTTTATTATTAAATAATTTTTAAAATGATGATGCATTGGATATTACTGCATTGCTGAAGGAGTTCATAAAAATTTTAACATGGTAAATGTTTCAAATGAATCCTCTACTAAAGAAAAATCACTATGAATTTGCAGGGTTTAGACAGAAAAGGTAAAATCATGAAATCATCACTTTTGTTACTTACCACAGGTTTTTCAATGTTGAAACAGCATGGCTGTGTTCTGTATTCTGTATTGTTTTCTAAAAGTAAAAAAAAAAAAACCCACCTCAAACAAAATAATATATTGGCAAAAACAAGAGAAAAAAGTTAGATCTATTATCACTCTATAAATACATCAGCACAATGAAAACTATTAAGACCCAACGACAACTTACATAAAACACTTAGTACAGAACCTGGTCAAAATATGTATCACACTCTAGCCAGATATGTACAAAATTACTCAACTTAAATAATATCAGACGAACTAAGTAGGATTGAAATTTGCAATATTTCATTAGAAGACAACTAAAATAATGCAAGGACATGCAAATTTTACAAGAAGATATATTTTTAATATGTGTATTTGTGTGTGTGTGTGTGTGTGTGTGTGTGTGTGTGTGTGTGTGTGTGTGTGTGTGTGTGGTTAGGAATTTAAACCAGAAACTTTGGCATACTACACAAGCATTCTACCATTGAGATGCATTCTAACACTTTTCATGATTTTAAAAGGCAACCTAACTATGATTTTGCATACACTATTTGGCCTTCAAAAGTAGAGTGAGAGTTCTGTCATTTGCTACAACATATATAAACCCAAAGGACATTATACTAAATGAAATAAGCCAAGCACAGAAAAAGAAATACTTCATGATCTTACTTATACATAGAGTTTAGTAAAGTTGAAAGAAATATTACCAGGAGTGGGGTGGAAGTTAGAGAATGAGTAGTTGCTTAATAAAGGGAATAAAATTTCATATGGGAGAAATAGGTTTGAGAGCTATTGCATGGCAGGGTGACTCTAGTTAATATAAGGTATATTTCAATATAACATACATGCATTTCAAATGTTTCAACATAAAAAAACTGATTGGTAAGTGAGATGACAGATGTTAGTTTCACGTACTAATTCCACATTATAGTTACACATACATACGTGTGTGTGTGTGTGTGTGTGTGTGTGTGTGTGTGTGTGTGTGTGTGAAAATGTTACACTGTACTTTATAAATGTATGTTTATTATTTGTCAACCAATAATAAATTAGAAAAACATGGAGGTACAAGTATAATGAGGTTAAGCGGAGGCAGAAGCAGAGAATGGCACGTTAATATTTCAAGTGGGCTGGCAAGGTGACATTGGAGAATAATGGTGCTTTTCACCAAGCACTATGACCTGAGTTTGATCCGGGGACCTGCATGCTTGAAATGAGAAAACAAACTCCGATAAGTTTCCCTCTGATCTCCCTCATTCACATACATACACAGACTAAATAAGTAATTATGTATAATAGAAATTTATTTAACAATGCATTGAGAGTCCAAAATATTTGACTTGAGTACTCATTGGCAACAAAACTGGATTCCTGGGTCCTCTGATCTACCTTGTTCACATATGTAGAGAAAATGATTAGGTGTAGTGAAAAATTTATTTAAAAATGCATCGTGAGTCCAAAAAATTTGGCTTGAGTACTCATTGGCAACAAAACTGGATTCCTGGGTTTACCTTTTAGGGCTGCATTTGACGACTGAGTCTTCTTTTGTTTTCCACCTGACATCTGCTTATTGTCTCCACCTCCCATATTATTCTCTCTCTTTCCATGATTATTTTCAGTATAAGCCCTGGTAATGTTGGAAATGCTGGCAGCACCAGAAGGTCTGAGAGCATTAGTAATTGAAGAGGGGATATGAGCATTTTCAGAGATTAAAACATAGTGAGCACTCTCGGAAATACAGCGTGGAGTACTATCAGCATTTGAATATTTTTGAGTTCCAGCAGAGGTGACTGGATCATGACTAATTCTGGAAAGGCTTGGAGCACTATTAATGGTGTCAAAGCAAAGAGCAGTGTTTGAGGTAGAAGTGCTAGGGGCATGATCAGAGGAACTAGTGATTTTGTTAGTAGTGTTAATGTCTAGAAGACTGTTAGCAATGTAGTTTTTTGGAGTATTGTCAATAGCACAAGTGCTTAAGATGTTATTCAGAGAGCAAATGCTTGAAGTATTGTTATCAATGTGAATGCCTGGAGTGTGAGTAGCTGACATGTCAATGGTTTTGTTTAGAAGCAAAGGAGTGTCATTAAACATGGATCTAGTCTTATGTTCACCAAATTGGCGATCTCTCATTTTCTTCTTTGAATAATCTCCCGTTTTAACAGTCCTTTCAACAAATTGGTTATGGTTTACTCTTCCTTGAAGATAGGTTTCTAAAAAAGATAATGTGATAATGTTTAGTAATTAAAATAATCATATTCTCTCAATTTCTTTCTTCACCTTAACCATCAAAATAACACTGATAAATCATGCTTTACTTATTTTTTTACCTTACTTCAATCTGAATATTCGGTATTTATATATATATGTCTTATGTATATGTATTTATGATATTCTGATAGGCATGGAAAAATATGAGCAAATACAGTATTTTCTCATTTAGTAACTTCAATTTCCAATCTTAAGGTCTTATGATTTTGATGACAATCCTCCAGTGCCTTTAAGATTTTTATGATTTTCCAATCTGATTTTATAGACCAGTCAGGAAAAATATGGACCACAAATTACATGCTACACTGAAGCAAAATAAATATTTATAAAAATAGAGTTTAATGAGAATTTTACCTAAGACATAAACTTTAGGCATTATAAGCATTTTATCTAGGGACTATCATCAGCTCTAAGAAGTATGCATGATATACAATCATTCGTGGAAATATTATCTTCTACCCTCTCCACTTTTAATGAACTGAAAATATTCCATTTTTTCCACTTTTAGAAACTTTTGTTTCAAATGGCATGTATTCATTGTATTGTCGTGTTGGGTTTCATAAGAACATTTTTATACAATTATATCATGTGCTTTGCCCATATTTACCCCCTTACCTTCATATTTCTTCTCCCTCCCACAACTGCTCTTCTCTATTTTTGAGATAGTCCTTTTTCTCCTCCTCCACCTCTGCCTCCATCTCTTCTTGAGACAAAAATCACACGCTTTCTAGGCAGGCCTCAAACTCCAGCAGAGGATGACCTTTAACCTCTTATCCTCCTGCTTCCCCCTCCAGAATGATAGCATTCTAATTATGTGTTACCATCTAGTTTTATGTGGTCCTGGAGATGAAACCCAGGGCTTTGTGCATGCTAGGCAAGTACTCTATTAACTGAACAATATTCTCAATTCCCAGACAGTCTTTCTTTTACATCCATGTCACATCTATATTTGTATCTCAACGACAATGTTTTGCATTTAGGAAAAGTGTATACGGGGGCTGGAAAGATGGCACAATAGTTAAGAGCACTGGGTACTCTTCCAGACGATCTGGATTCAATTCCCAGAAACCACACAACAGCTAACAACTGCCTGTTAACTCCAGTCCCAGGGAGTCTGATGCCCTCTCCTGTTTTCCACTCACACCCACAGGGTGCACAGGCATACATTCAGGCAAACACTTGGTATGAGTAAAAACAAATAAAATCTCAAAAGAAGAAAGGATACACTACCATGATGCTCCTGGTACATAAATGCTGGTGGTGGTGGTAGCATCGGAGGCGGCAGCATCGGAGGCGGCAGCATCGGAGGCGGCAGCATCGGAGGCGGCAGCATCGGAGGCGGCAGCATCGGAGGCGGCAGCATCGGAGGCGGCAGCATCGGAGGCGGCAGCATCGGAGGCGGCAGCATCGGAGGCGGCAGCATCGGAGGCGGCAGCATCGGAGGCGGCAGCATCGGAGGCGGCAGCATCGGAGGCGGCAGCATCGGAGGGGGGAGCATCGGGGGGGGGAGCGGCGGGGGTGGTAGCATCGGAGGTGGTAGCATCGGAGGTGGTAGCATCGGAGGTGGTAGCATCGGAGGTGGTAGCATCGGAGGTGGTAGCATCGGAGGTGGTAGCATCGGAGGTGGTAGCGGTGGTGCAGGTAGTGGTATCTGCTGTGGAACAAATTCTTGCATGTAAGGCATTGGAAATTCCCCTTGAACTGGGGGATACATAAATGGAAGGGCCTGGGGGTATGTGAACTGTGGTGGTGCTATGAAGGGTGACAGCTGATGCCCAGGAGCACTCAGGGCCATGTTATAGTCAAGTGTCTGAGGCACAACAATAATTTTCTGAATTCCATTTTCTTCCACCACCTAAAACAGAAGACAGAATCATATGTACATATTAAAGTCTATCGAAATCATTATGTTTTAGATTTATATCATATCCTGTTAATTTGGAATTCTAAAGCATCAAGGGCCAATAATCAAGAAGGCAAGATCATTCTTGTTTTTCCCCAGGTATCTTGATGTTATTTGAGACAGGGTCTCACTAGGAAGTCTCTGGAACTCATTATGTAGACCAGGCTGACTTCAAACTCACAGAGATTCACCTGCCTCTTCTGCCCCTTGAGTGCTGGGATTAAAAGTATATGTGTCACCATGCTTGCTTTTAAGTAGCCTTTTAAAAAAAGAGGTAATTTCTGACATATATCAAAACCTTAAAGTGTACCATATAATTTAAAAGTACCCTTCCTAATCCTTACTTTTTCAATGATTCACAACTGGAAACTACTGTGACTTTCTTAAGAACACTTCTAAAATTTCTTGTTTTCCTTCTTTTTATTATATCACAGTATATTTTTCGTATTCCGAGCTTTCTCTTTTTATTTAGCAATACACATTTAAAGAGTTTTCTGTATAGGTATATAATTACCCTCCACTTTTTGGGATAGGGTCACACTATGTAGCTCTGATTGTTCTGGAACTCACTATGTAGACCAGACTGGCCTCGAACTTATATTCACCTACCTCTGCCTCCCAAGTGCTGGGATTAAAGGTGTGTGCCACTACCACCCAGCTCTATTTTCCTATTTTTTGCTTAGTTTTACAATGCTCCATTAATTGCACATATTGTACAGCCACCTCATTTATAGGTTTCAGGGTTATTTTCAAACCTTTGTGATTATAAACAGCACTGTAAGGAATATTATATATTTGATATATCATTCCAAAGTTGTAAAAATGTGTCTGTCTGATAAAATAAAGACTTTATTTGTTAAAGAATTTATAGTGAAATTGCTGAGAGCAGGCACATGTGCACTCATATTTTTATTAGGTATTTCCTTACATATAATTTTGTTTAGAATTGAAGTATAATATACTAACTTGTTTGGCATGTCCTGCATGTACACCACTATGCAATTTACACAACCAAATAAGCCATGAAGACAAAGGCTATGAAGAAGGATAACAAGACGTCTTCTCAAGTACTATATTTTCAAGGCCACTGCATATTTTCTTAATCTCAATAGGAGTGTTATTTGCACTGTTCATTTTAGGTGCACAATAAATATTTGAGGATCTTCTTAGGTAGTAGATTCTAGATTGTCAAGTTGAGCAGAATGTTGTATACATAATAAATAAATAAAATCTTTATAAAAAAAGCTTTCTTTGGCCTTTAAGAATGAAACACTACTGAGTTGAAAATACTATGTGACTTTCAGGACTAAAGATTATACATTATCAGAAGCCATTACTGTAAGAATTGTAATGATACTTAAGGTGGATTAACAAACTCTACAAAGCAATGGAAATTATTAAATATTACATGATATAAATTCAGTAAACAAATATCATTTATGAGGCAATCTAAGGGAGGTTTGGCTAAAGTCAATCGCTTGAAATGATTACAGATAAAAGTTTAGTTAAGAGAAAAATTTAAAGAAAATGACAACAGTGAACTAAATAAATACATATTTCTGAAAATCTATTATCATACAGTGACATAGTAAAAATATTAAATGATAATAAAGAGCTAGACACCAAACAAAAACCACATTAGCATACCTGAGATATGTAACCAGGAGGAAGGTATATTGGTGGCAAATTACCGGTTGGTGCTATTAGAGGTTCTTCTAAAGGTCCTAAGAGAATTATTAATGAATATTAAAAAAGTTCATTACAGAATCCAGTTAACTTTGCATAGTGAAAATCAGCACTAAGCTTCAACAATATCCATTTTGAATGGATACTGTGACATATTCAGAAAGCCTATTGTCAAAGTATAGATGAATCACTGAAAATTCATTTCAAGCAATGGAATATAATTAAGGGATATAATGAGTATTGGGTAAAATATATACTATAAAAATATTGGTAAGTTCACTGCAAATGAAAATGAACTACTAACTTTCTTCTAGTGCTCTCTCACTTAGCATGGTTATATTACCTAAAATTTTACCCCATGTCATAAAATAATTTATTGCAGCGATATTACCCAATAAAAATGAAAGGAATTTTTATTTCAGGGCTTCCTTCCAATAATATTAAAATATATATGTGTGTGTGTGTGTGTGTGTGTGTGTGTGTGTGTGTGACAACAATTAATGAAAAAAGAGGCCTGTGAGGGAGCAAGTAGGGATACATGGGAAAGTTTGGAGGGAGGAAAGGGAAGGGGAAATGATTATATTATTATATTATAGTCTCAAATAAAATAAATAATTAAAAAAGTGAAACGGGGGCCTGGAGGGATGGCTCAGTGGTTAAGATCACTGGCTGATCTTCCAGAGGAACTGGATTCGATTCACAGCACCCTCATGGAGACTAACAATCATTTGTTAACTCCAGTTCCAGGGCATCCGATACTCTCTCCTGGACTCTATGAGCACTGCACATACATGGTACACAGACATGCATGCAGGTAAAACACTCATACATATAAAATAAAATAATAAATCTTCAAAAAATAATAAAATAAACAGGTTTTAGGAAATTACCTACTATAAAGAGGGCTTAGTATTATTCATGCAATGTTGCACTTTTATACCACATATTCTTAATATATCTCAAACATACATTTGCATTGCAACTAAAAGTTACAGTACAGAAAGGTATATGTCATCATTCTTTGTGTTATTTGCAATTATTATAATTAGTATTTAGTCTAAGAATACATGAGTTTTAAGGTTCTAGATGGTAATTTGTGAGTTCATGATGAGCATTCAATAAAAACCATTTAAAATATATTGCTAGATAATATTTTCAGAAATTCTGAAGACACAGGTGCAAAGACAAAAAGACCAACAAGGTAGAAACACAAATTCCCACACTTTCAAAATCAGACTGACTAATCACAACTTCACCTCAGTGACTTGAGATGCCTCAGATAAACATTTAGACTAACTTCTTTTAAAAATGATTTAGTTTATTTTGTGTATATGAGTGTTTATCTGCATGTATGTATGTGGACCATGTGTTTGCCTGGTGTCTGCAGAGTCCATAAAAGGGTATTGGATCCACTGAAGTTGGAGTTACAAATGGTTGTGGGCTGCCTTGTGGTTGCTAGGAAAAAAACCTGGGCCCTCTTCAAGAGCAAACAGACCTCTTTAACTCCTGAGCAAGAGCATAAATTCCGATGAACCTTACTCCAAATGGTCAGTCTCAAGAAAGAAAATGGGTGCTATGAAGTTTACTACTTAACAAAATTAGTTGCTTTTCAAGATGTGATTCTTTCCCTGAGCATTTTCTTTTTTTAATTTTTTATTTAATTTTTAAATTCATGTCAATCCCTTCTCCCTCTCCCTCCCCTCCCCCCAAACCCCCCCCAGTCCCCTCCCGCTCCCCTCTCCACTCCCTATGGAGGGTAGGGACCTCCACGGGGGCTCCTCAAATTCCACAACATCATCCTGGGCCTGGCCTAGGCCCTCCCCCCATGTGTCCAGTCTGAGAAAGCATCCCTTCAC